GAGGAGAAAGAGAAGGGAAAGGGGAAGGAGGAAGAGGAAGGGAAAGGAGAATAAGGAGAACGGGGGAAGGGGAAGTAGGAGGAGAAAGAGAAGGGATGGAAAGGAGAATAAGGAGGAAGGGGGAAGAGGAGTAGGAGAGAGAAGGAAAGGGAAGGAGAAAGAGGAGAGGAAGGGAGGGAAAGAGGGAAGTAGGAAGAGAAGGGAAAAGAAAGGAGAAGGAGGGAAAGGAGAATATGGAGAAGGGGAAGGGGAAGTAGGAGGAGAAAGAGAAAGGAAAGGGAAAGGGAGAAGAGGAAAGGAAAGGAGAATAAGGAGAACGGGGAAGAGGAAGTAGGAGAGAAGGAGAGAGGGAAAGGGAAAGGGAGAAGAGGAACGGAAAGGAGAATAAGGAGAAGGGGGAAGAGGAGTGAGGAGGAGAGAAGGGAAAGGTGAAGGAGGAAGAGGAGGGAAAGGAGAATATGGAGAAGGGGAAGGGAAAGAGGAGGAAAGAGAAAGGAAGGAAAGGAGAAGAGGAAAGGAAAGGAGAATAAGGAGAAGGGAAGGGAAGTAGGAGGAGAAAGAGAAGGAAAGGGGAAAGGAGGAGGAAGGGAAAGGAAATAAGGAGAAGGGGGGGAGAAGTAGGAGGAGAAAGAGAAGGAAAAGGGGAAGGAGGAAGAGGAAGGGAAAGGAGAATAAGGAGAAGGGGGAAGGGGAAGTAGGAGGAGAAAGAGAAGGGAAAGGGGAAGGAGGAAGAGGAAGGGAAAGGAGAATAAGGAGAAGGGGGAAGGGGAAGTGAAAGGAGAATGAAGGCAGTAGGAGGAGAAAGAGAAGGGGGAGAGAGGAAGGGAAAGAGAATAAGGAGAAGGGAAGGGGAAGTAGGGAGGAAGAGAAGGAAAGGGAAGGAGAAGAGGAACGGAAGGAGGAAACGGGAAGGGGAAGGAGGAGGAGAAAGAGAAGGGAAAGGGGAAGGAAAGGAGAAGAAGGGAAAAGAGAAGAAGAAGGAGAGATAGAAAGATAGAAGGAAAGATAGGTATGTATAGAGAGAGACAGAGAGAGGGAGAGATTAGGTAAAAGGCAGACAAAGCGAGAGGCCGAGAGCGCACCTGCGCCGCCCCATCTTGGGTAAATCCAATCTTCAAAGACTCAACCAATTTGGGCTATTTTCCCCGCGGGATCCGAAGAATTCCGACCATGTGGACACGCCCGACGCCGGGACATTCCTCGGGCTCTCCGCTGGGTTCCGATCAAGTCTATATTTTGAGGCATTTTCCCGCAACGACAGATGTTCCTCGGCGCCCCCGCTCGTTCTTGCTCTTCGTGCCCTGCTTTTTTGTTCTTTTTTTCTTCATTTTTTATGCCCTTTATTCTTGTTCTTCCTACCTTGCGTTTTTTGTTCTTTCTTTATTTTTTTTTACCCTTATTTTTTTCTTCATACCCCTTTTCTTCATATCTTGTTCTGTCTTTCTTTCTTTCTTTACCTTTTCTTATTCTTTCACTCTTTCCATATTTTCCTTATCTATTCGTTAAGTGATTTTCTAGTTATATTTATTTCAACTTTAAATTTATTTCAAGGGATATAAAGGATATATTTATTTTTCTAGTTAAATTTATATCAAAGGATATAAGCCTCTCAAGTTGTAAAGTTTACAAATATATATAAAACCCATTTTCTTGGAATCTTTTTCATGATCAGTACACACATTACAAACATTTAAAAAGCTAAAATTATTACCGAATTCATCTTCTCCCATTTTCTTTCTATTTTTCATGACTAGTACACACATTACAAACATTTTTTAAAAATCATTCTTTTTACCCAGTTCATCTCCCATTTTCTTCACATCGTTTTCATGGTTAATACACACATTACAATCATTAGAAAAGACTAAAACTATTAGTCTACCCATCTTCTCCCGCGGGTATCTGAGATAAGAGTTCGGTATCACTATCGTGTTTCTCAGGTACGACTCCGATTGAATTTGTATTTCTCACCTGTAATGGTCTTGGGAGTTCTCCTCAGAGGCGTGTACGAGGGTGGTTCAACGAGAGAATGCTGCGTGAAAGAGAGGTCATTTGTTGTTATTGTTATTTTGGTTTGTTTATTTATTTAGATTTTTTTGAGAGGGAGGGAGAGAGGGAAGGTTCTTTTTGGAAAGGGGGGATTTTTTCTTTTTTTGAGAGAGAGAGAGAAAGACAGAAACCGGGAGAGAGAGAAAAAAAAAAGAAAGAGAGAGAGACAGAAACAGAGACAGAAAGAAAGGGGGGAGGGAGAGGAGGGATAAAGAAGGTGCATTTTTTTTCTATTTTTCTGAGATAGAGAGGGGAAGGTGCTTTTCTTTTTCCTTTTTTAGAGGGAGAGAGAAAGGCGTTATTTTTCTTCTTGCCGACTTCGAGACCTTCGCTTATCCGTGCAGTGTGTCTCCTCGTTTCCAAAGAGAGAGAGAGACAGAGACAGAGACGCAATTTTCCTCCGCAAATACACAATTCACATCCAAAGACATGCACGACTAATAAACAAACA